TACCACTCAGAGGTGACAGGGACCTTCACTACACAAAAAGACAATAATCAGAAGAAAAAAGATTAAATACCGGTGCTAAAAACCCTAGGCGACCCCATTTTCTAAGATTGGGTGAATTCCTCGAAATTTGTCTCATCTTCCTTTGCTTATCGTTAGCACACGAATATACGAAGTCGACTGACACTTGACTCCCACTTTCTTCACGATTTGGGGCGCGGCCGCGGCAAACCCGCGGCGTTCGCGGCCGAGTAGTGCGGCATCAGCTTGCCTGAGTATTCGACGTTACATTACGTGTCGTTACGATCGGATGAACTAACACGTAATGTAACGTCGAATACTCAGGCAAGCTGATGCCGCACTACTCGGCCGCGAACGCCGCGGGTTTGCCGCGGCCGCGCCCCAAATCGTGAAGAAAGTGAAGGAGCCATTGACACTAACAGCATAGCGCTCGTGCGACTAGCGCGGCGGCGCAAAAAGCCGTTCAGCCCCTGACCATATAGTTACTAGAACTTATGCCATGGCTGGATGACTCGAAGAACATGAATCCTACCCCAAAAATGCTTAAAACTCGCATCAAAGGACGATTGCGCCAAACGCTAACGATAACTTTTATAACGAATATAAATAAGAATAAGAATATAAATAACGAAGACTTCGGGACAGAACAATTCTAAGCTACGATAACGTTAGCGCTAGCTTACCGACATTCATGTTCTACAGCTCACACTACCGTTGGGGAAAATCAGAAGCAAGATCCACCAACGCAGAGAACTCGCTAGAAACATCCTCCCTAATCTCGGGAAAGTGGGGCATCAAAGGGTGAATAACGCCCGAACACCATACCTGAAAAAGTCCTATCACTTCCACCGCTCGCGCTTTCACGCCAGCTTCTTCTTCCAGTTCACGTCGAGCTGCTTCTTCCGCACATTCGTTCTGCTCAATGCCGCCACCTTAACAACAAACTTTGGTTCAAGAACATGGGCCAATTCAAACCTGCTTCGAAAGCCCATGAGATAACCACGTGTACACAAAGGTCGCTGTCTTAGAACTGGCTTTTTTCAACAAACTCACCAGGAATCACCCATTTTCCACCTTCCTTTCCGCCGCTCACCAACAGTACCATCGCATCTTTGCCGCGTCCTAAAAATAAACACTTCAGAAAGCAGAAAGTCACTTACAACAGCACCGAACACGCATCTGGGGTGATGCACCTGGGGTAATCGCACACCCCTCATTAGCGACTTCTTCATTTGAATGTAGGAACCCCCACCAATATGTACGTGATGGTCCAAGGGGGCCTGCCCAAACGCTCTGCGCACTAACTACCTTTCTTTCATTTGCATTCACTCACTTCTGTCCAATAATTTCATTCATTTTTTCACGAATTATTTTTTATTTCATTAAAACGATAAAGCTGCAATACTTTGAATAACGCATTCAAAAGAAGGAATTGAGAGAGCGAGGGAGCGAGGGAGAGTGTGCTATGAATTCCTTAGTAGGATCTTACCATAGAACAAAGAACTAATGTCTATTTCCGTTAAGGTACTCAAGAAAGCATCGATGAGCAGCTCTCATCTCTTCTTCCCTTCTACTTTGAAACACGCAATCGTTGCCGAAACCCTTCCGGCCGATCCAATAATGAGATTTTTGCCGAGCCCGTTCTAACGAGGTTCTTCACTTGATGAAACTCAAAGAATCGAAAAACACTTAGGTTCCAAAGCCTGAAGTTCGACGGTGTGCCAAAATTGAGCGGATATTGATGTAGGGACCGCCTTCACCTCAAACTAGGAAAGCGGACCTAGATGCCCAAAAAAAGGGGGGGGACCCTTTTTGCCTTGTTGATTACCGCATTGACGCGAGTCACGTCGGCACTGTCCCATAAACTCTGACGCTCCCTCTGTTAATGGCTAGTGTACTCGGCAAGGGTTACTCACGGGTAGGCGTGCAGCCGGCTAGCGAAAGGACGGATAAGCGGCCTTCTACAGAACTGGAGCATACCCTTCGCCGCGAAATACACTCCCTAGGAGCCCGTCTGCCTGTGACTAGGCGTATTTCTCCTCCTTCATTCTCCACATATCGTTGCTATGCCTCATTTGAGGACTTGTGTGACAGCACGACTGCAAAAAAAAAACGCTAAAAAGAGCTTTGCGTCCGGTGAAGGAGCAAAGAAGACATCCCCGTACGTGCGGTCCTGATGCATGCTGGTGATAGACCTGTCGGTGACCGTGGTCAATCACGAACTTCAATAAACTACCCTTCCACAACGGGTCAGCCATAGAATCACAGTCTTATTAGGATAAGTTTGCACTAAAATTTGAGCTACATGCGATTTCTTGTTACTCGAATAGTTCATGGACATGAAATATGAGAGCAACATGTGGCTAGTGGGGTCGAAGTATGAGCTATGAGTGCGACCTGGTTTACCAGAAAAAAAAAAACAATTGAGACCACCAAAAAGGAAGCCTTACTTTCTAATGTAATTATGGGCATTTCCCGAGTGTAACTGTAGCTTTGACAAGAGATCCTGACCACAAATCAGTTAATCATTGGCACATGCCGCAATTGCCGAGCCCCAAAATTAAGGTGTAAATGTGGTGGATGAGTAATGTACAGTAAACAAAATTGCAAGAAACACTTAAAGCAACACGCCAGATCGAATTTGAGTGGTCACAGCGTTCGATAATGAGGCTGTGGCGCCGAATTGACTGAAATAAAAAAAAAGAAGTGAAAAAAACCGCCAAGCCCAAAACGAAAATTCCCCTCGAAAAACAAGGCGGAGCCGGACGAGTTATATGTGCCTGATTGCTCCACGGTTCAACTGACCCGCGCGTATTTGAATAAGCCGCTACGCCGTAATCCACGTTGCGTGTAATGAAGCGTGCGTGACGCAACTGGCCCAAATGCTAAAATCAGTCGCCAATGCTGACTTTGTAAGACCCTAGCGTTGTTAGATGGTGTTATGTTTAGCCCCTTATGTACTCGTGGGCCCTTCATCCGTTGCATGTGCATACCAAGCAGGCATAGATAGGGTTACTTTCGTTGATCAGCCCATCTCTACGTATAGAGGAGCAACTCATCAATGAAAAGGCAGCAATCTTCGCCCATACAAATCAAATATGGAATGTGATTTTGAGCTTCCCCAGCAGTTTTGTTTCCCTTTCAAAATATTACTAAACAACCCACGACCACATCTACATATGTATTTTCATTTTCGGGCGCAACAGACCACCAATGTATGATGGAGTGTGCCTTTGAACTCTCTCCACCCGATCAAAACTGCACTTGGACCTAATGCACGGACTACGTCTCCAAAAAAGTGCTGACGGCGTATTATCAACACCACGTGATAACAACACTTGGCGCCTCCGAGAGCAACTAAATCAATCGCTACGATATCAAGAGAAATGATTGATGCTCTTCTTGTAAACTAGCATATAGACTTACATACAACACGAACATATGTTCCACCTTGACGTCACTCGGTGTCCATTTCTCATTTCTTTCGCGCGAAAATTCCTTCACTTAACCCATCGCATAGAAACTTCGCAAAAGAATCTCGCCACAGTGACTTGGCATGGCGGGACTTCAAAGTTCGTTCGAGATATTTGGCTCCAGTTTGATTTTATCACGTAATGCGAAAAATGATCAATCACCTATTCTGAGAACTTCAATGTCAAAACAATTAGCATAACATTCTTTAATTCGGGACTTCCTTAACTACTTCGTTCAGAAGACAAAGTACAAGTCAAGTCAATGCGAAAACTAGCGCATTCATGAAACACGGGACTGGCACTGCTATTTCCACAAGAACCACGACTCAATCTGAAGCCCTTACATTCTTTCAGATCGATAGATTGACACGAGGCCATGTTGCTGATTCAAACATCAGCTGTCCTTCACAAGACTTATTTTGTGCCTTCCCCTTCACGAAGCGCCATGCATCCCATTTCAATTTATACCCGTGATGAAGATTGAGCGCGAGTTAACCTTTCGGATGATTTGCAGAGATAGATGGTTTGTAGGCCAGTGTTTTCATAGGAACCCAGACAACCTGACACCAGCTGAGCGACCAATTAGGCTTAAGCACTTGGACGATCGGGTGAGTTGGAATATATAATACCTCCTAAGCTCCGAAAAGCAGCGCCACATGCAATGCAACACCTCTTCCTCTTTTAGGCATATTTTTTGTACTTCGCGTTTCCCAGGTTTCGAAATGTATCTACAAATCTCATTGGAAACTATAATGCTTAGATATATATAATTAACGTTTGATTTCAATTCAATTTCATTTTCTGCATTTGACATTCTTTCATCAATCTCATGATCTAAAAATGTTTTCCGTTAATGTTATTTCTGCTCTAACTTTTTCGAATTTATTCAAATGGTAGGGACTCAAAAAATCGTCTGCCTTGTTTCGCGTGCCCTTAGATGAAGACTGAACAATAGGAACAAAGCAGAAGGCATGACGTAACGGTATCGATTAGGTCGTTGCTGAACTCTGCATTCCCTATTCTTTGAAAATTAGCCTTCGTGTAGTCGAGGAATTACAGCCGATAACAAAAACAAGTAAGGGAATACCTTACACAAAACCTTACACTGTAACTGGGAAGAACTAGACTTCACAAGGAGGACAAAACACCACGCTGTTCGCTGGGAACAGCTGCGTACCCGGCACCATTCCATTAAAAAAGGGACATAAGCAGTTAGTGGTAATAAACCTCTCGAAAATGCGCCAAACATTCAGTCTCCATTTCCTCGCAACATGGACTTATTACAACAGTTATCAAACTCACCAAAAGTCTGATACCAGTAAAAACTGGGGAAGGGGAAAAAGGGGAGACACAATTGCATCCAAGCGATATCTCGCATTCTTCAAGGTTTTTCTTAGCCCACTCATCGACCCGGAAGGGAAAAAAAGACATCTTGGGTTGTGTGACGCACGAAAAGAAGCGGGTACGCGCAAAACCAGAGTTCTTCTAAAAACAGAAGGCAGTATTATGTTACCTTTGAACATCGCAAAATCTACGTAAAAGTGCATTTCCCCTCCGCGCACATGAGCGCCATTGGCGTCATTCACGGCTGGGGCAACAAAGAACGTTTACAGAACGTCCCATAACGAAGTTTACAACCGAAGTACCGTTGCTCATTTCCAATTAACGGTAAAAACTAATATAATGACACAATTTATTAAATTATAGCCGGGAATCAAACGTCCACAACTAACACATGACGCATTAACGCACACCTTTATATCACGCCATCACGCCATGCATATTTACTTCGGACCAAGTTGTAACACTGGCACTCAAGAGCAGTTCAGAAGTTTTTCCTCATTTCGGAAAAAGGCCTCATCCACCGACGCGATACATCACTCCGCTTAAAAACCGCGCCTTTGCACATTAGCGGCACACCTTCAGCTATCACCCAACACTACCTGGTCATGCCGGAATCTTAGATAGAAACAGTTACTTCAAATACAAATTCCCTCTGCTCTGAAGCTAGGTTGTTTTCGATCTATTCTCATTCCAAAATGAGACATGTGACATTAGGTTCGATTCTTCTCACGAAAATGAGCCAGGGGAAGCACAGCACAGTTGGCCAAATGAGTCATGTATGTGAGAGCAGAAATAATCAATTTTTAGGAAGAGGGATAGCGGACAGTAGTCGGTTTCCATGAATTTCCCTTCACGATCATGAGTGCTTCCAGCTACCAGCAAAAGTTGGTCTTGAAAACATTCCCTGTCACCAAATGATTCGAATGACAAACAATCACCCCATCCTGAATTGGCTGTCATCTGGGAGAGCTCGCCCATTAGGTGTTGCTTCAGACGATAACGCAAACCATAGGACAATGCGTCTGAAAGACACTGTTCGAGCAGATCGTAGTTATTTGTGTGCCATCGCAAGATGGGGAGGGGAGGGGGCATCGGCTTGGCCTAGGAATGAGGAGGAACACAAAAGAAAATGAACATTGATTACGCACCCGAGATTTCCCAGCTCCCCTAGTGCTTGTTTATGAGGTCCTAAACTAGAGTATCACGCAGGGACTATGAAATTCAGGCATGGAAGCGGATCTCTTTGAGCTTTCCTCAGCTCCGGATCCAGTAAGCAATTCCCCACAAAAGCTATTCGCTCCTTTTTGCTAAAGCCCTTCAACTATTGGCTGTTGTGCTTGTCGAATCTGTTTCTCCCAAGGGCCGCTCTTGTTCCATATCAGTTTTTCCTCTGTGCGCTTCATTCCCTTTTGCGA